AACTAGAGAATAATAAAAATGTTTTGTAAAGACAACTTTCCCTGGAGAAATGATTGATTTTACTTAATATTTTGTTTTCTCCTTTCTTTTACTTGAGAATAAAGATACTTCGGTCAGTAAATCTTTTTATTGTCTCGACAAAAATCTTTTGTCCTCGTCAGGAGCAAACAAAAATTAAACATTTAGCAAGGCGTTAAAAATCTTTCTAAAGTTCCAAGGGCGTTCTCACGCGATATTTAAAAATTTTGTACAACATCTAAAGCACGAGTCAAAAATAAATATTTAACTCACAAACGACTATGATCTTTGAAATAAATTATAATATACATATATATAATGAGAAATTATAAACAAAAATAAATATTGAAATAATAATAATATTTACAAAGATTTCCCAATAGTATATATAAATCGATATCTATTACTTACAAAAAATTTATACTTACCTTTTAAACTACTTTTTAAATTTAAAAACGAATTTTATTGTAGTGGAATATCTTCAAATACATTTACTGATTTACTGGCGCCGATGTATCTTTATTTTCAAGAAATATGAATGCCGGCCAGGCAGCCTCAATATCACCATGTTTTCTCCTGTAAAAGGACGTCCATTCCCGAAAGCTAGAGAATAATAAAAATGTTTTGTAAAGATATTTTCCCTGCAGGAATGATTAATTTTAATCAATATTAATGCAAAAGATTATTTTATAAAATCTATAAACCATCCTAAACGGAATGAGTGGTTTCAGCTGGAAGAATTATCCGGGACCAACTTCACCTTACTGATGGACGAAGCCCAGTCAACGGTGAACTCAGCCCTGGAGTCCATGATACCAGGACCGCTTCAGCCTCTATCCGAAACTGAAGACAATGTGTCCCTTCCTGACAAAATGAGAAGGTAAGAAACACCATTTATTAAACGTTTATAATCCTTTAATCACAATCAAAAAGTCTCCAAGTGTCTTCTTTTATTACCAATGTATGTGTTCTCCAGATTGTCTGAACAAATCCTCCAGCTAAAGATATGGGAGATACCAAATGTCAATCATCTCTCCAGCGCCCTTCATGACTTCTTCCAAGGCATTTTCTATCCAGGTGAGTTTCTACTCGACTTCTATACTTAAAGCATTTTTAAAAGACTCTCCCGTCAAAATAGAAGTCAAAGCTAAACGCTATCTATTGACCATCGCCGCAAATTAGCGGCCTCAGGTCAGTGACAAAGCCACAACACAAGCTTTGTCAAACTGAAAAGCGTCCAACTAGAGACCTTTCAGGCTAATGGCCCTCGTCAGCCTAGTGCAGACTCTATTTCATGAGATCGACAAGGGATCTAATGGAATCTTGACAATCTGCCAAAGAGGCGTTTAGCTGGCTAAGTGACTAGCCCAAATCTATGGCTAGAATATTGGACGCCTATTTTGACGGGAGAAGCAACCTTTGTCTTTTTAGATCAATATCCTCAAAATCCATCTTTGTACAAAAAGAAAAGATGTTGGTATAAATTAATTGGCATGTGCAGGATCTTCAGACAAGGAGAGGAAGACTCTGGAAGAAAGTTTAGAGGTCTCCGTGTCCCAGGTAAGTCTCCTCTGTGAATGAATTGTTCTTCTTTCTGAGACTGCACTTACAGTAACAGAACGTTTCACTTACATCATATTTCATTACCAGTATCATTACACTATCAAATACAACTTTTATAGAATTTCCAGAACTTTTGTTTTATATAATACTTTAGACATTTCTTTTCGAAGAGAAAATTGGGTCTACGAGCTGCTTTGTTCAATCATGGACAAAACTTAAGGAAGTTGAACTTTTAGCATGTATATCGGGATTGAGACAATAACTCTGAAAGATATTACACTGACCTTTATTGAAGACGCACGAGATAAACAAATGTAAACAAAATTCACTCATGGACAAAAGCTAAGGAAGTTGTACCTTTCAGCATGTATATAGGGATTCTAACAATAACTCTGAAAGATATTACAGTGACCTTTATTGAAGACACACGAGATAACATACACTCATAGACAAAACTTAAAGAAGTTGAATCTTTTAGCATGTATATCGGGATTGAGACAATAACTATGAAAGATATTACAGTGACCTCTATTGAAGACAACACGAGATAACCAAGTGTGAACAAAATTGTCTCTGTCTCCTTAAAAAAAAAATAGACGACCGACGACATCAAATACAATCCAATTCCTTAAGTTTTGTCAATGAGTGTATATCTTTGTAATCTCTTTGGAGGAAGTCATATACCCTTCGGAATCTCCGCTATGATAGAACATGAACACATTGTGATAACTTCACCATGTTTGATGAACGAAATATATGGCGAGAATAGATTTCTAAGTTGATTACTGTGTTCCACAGCAGAAGAAGCTCGCTCTCTTGTTGAAGCAAACAGCGACCATCTTGGAAGAAGCCTCTGAACTCTTCAACCACAATCTTCCAGCCAAGTCTCTATCTTCAAGGACATCGCAACTTCTAGAGTCATTCAGGACGGCCTTGCACAGACATACGGTCGCACATATCAGGAGGTAAGCTTCTTTGACATTCTGTAGCTGTACATTGTGTATGGTGTCTATGGGTTGTGATCATAAGATAGTGACAAGAGAGATATCTCTTAGCTCATCCAACCTTTGAGATCCCCTGGATAGATAGCGGAGTCGATAATTGGGCTGTGTTGGAGCACATTTCTTTATTCGCCTTCAAATTTAGAGAAATCCTTTGTTCTTTGATTGTAAACGATAATGGTATTGTAAAACGACATTTGAAAATTATCCCGCATGTGTTTCTTTTCAACGAAAAAATCCAAATTTATTTTAAGGAGAAATAACGATTATTTCTAACCTTAGGGATGAAGTATGATAGGATTAATTATGAAGAGTAATGATAAACGGAATCACTCTTCACAATTCATCCTATCATACTTCATCCCTAAGGTTAGAAATAATCGTTATTTCTCCTTGAAATAAATGTTGATTTTTTCGTTGAAAGGAAACACATGCGGGATAATTTTCAAATGTCGTTTTACAATCACAGACCGCATTATATTGTATTGGATAATGGTATTCATTGTGTTCTGCTGTTTTTAAATATTTTTCTCGAAGGATTACTTGATATGAAAATTGTTCTTTCTTTCACATAACTTCTTTGGGCTATTATCTTTGTCCCAAAGCTAACCTTTTGGTATTGTGCCAACCATGTTCTGTTCTGGCATTGTTGGGCTAGTATATTTGTTCAAAGCTAACTTTTTGGTTTAGTGCCGACCTTGATCTATGCTGAAATTGTTGGGCTGTCATTTTTTCCCAGAGCTAACTTATTGGTTTTGTTCTGTCTTTGTATATTTGTTCAAAGCTAACCTTTTGGTTTTGTGTTGACCTTGTTCTGTGCTGGCATCTTTGTTCAGATATAACTCCTGTTTTTGTGCCGACCTTGTTCTGGGCTGGCATTGGTGGGCTTCCATACCTGACCAGAACTATCTCAACCAATAAGCTGTCAATGCATGGCTTCCATTGTTGCACCGCTAGCTTAAACAAAAAGCTACCAATGTTGTTCTTCCATTGTTGCACCGCTAGCTTAAACAAAAAGCTACCAATGTTGTTCTTCCATTGTTGCACCGCTAGCTTAAACAAAAAGCTACCAATGTTGTTCTTCCATTGTTGCACCGCTATCTTAAACAAAAAGCTGCCAATGTTGTTCTTCCATTTTTTGCACCGCTAGCTTAAACAAAAAGCTACCAATGTTGTTCATCCATTGTTGCACCGCTAGCTTAAACAAAAAGCTACCAATGTTGTTCTTCCATTGTTGCACCGCTAGCTTAAACAAAAAGCTACCAATGTTGTTCTTCCATTGTTGCACCGCTAGCTTAAACAAAAAGCTACCAATGTTGTTCTTCCATTGTTGCACCGCTAGCTTAAACAAAAAGCTACCAATGTTGTTCTTCCATTGTTGCACCGCTAGCTTAAACAAAAAGCTGCCAATGTTGTTCTTCCATTGTTGCACCGCTAGCTTAAACAAAAAGCTACCAATGTTGTTCTTCCATTGTTGCACCGCTAGCTTAAACAAAAAGCTGCCAATGTTGTTCTTCCATTGTTGCACCGCTAGCTTAAACAAAAAGCTGCCAATGTTGTACTTCCATTGTTGCACCGCTAGCTTAAACAAAAAGCTACCAATGTTGTTCTTCCATTGTTGCACCGCTAGCTTAAACAAAAAGCTACCAATGTTGTTCTTCCATTGTTGCACCGCTAGCTTAAACAAAAAGCTACCAATGTTGTTCTTCCATTGTTGCACCGCTAGCTTAAACAAAAAGCTACCAATGTTGTTCTTCCATTGTTGCACCGCTAGCTTAAACAAAAAGCTACCAATGTTGTTCTTCCATTTTTGCACCGCTAGCTTAAACAAAAAGCTGCCAATGTTGTTCTTCCATTGTTGCACCGCTAGCTTAAACAAAAAGCTACCAATGTTGTTCTTCCATTTTTGCACCGCTAGCTTAAACAAAAAGCTACCAATGTTGTGCTTCCATTGTTGCACCGCTATGTCATTTTAATGCGGTGCTTCTATTGTTTAATTTACTATACCATAATTTTCTGTGCTGCCATTGTTGGACTTGTATACCATTACAATGTTGTTTTGCCATTATTGCAAACACTATACCATTTCAATGCTCTTCTAATACATTGCTATACCATTTCAATACTGTTTACTGCCATTGCTATATTTTAAGTTTTTTTATGTGAAGAGAAGGAAATATTTGCTCATTGGTCCTATATTAAAGATTTAATCTCGTATCAATTTGCATAGTATTTTTAAGCTCTCTCCTATTTACATATGTATGATGTAAAACGACATTTTAAAATTATCCCGCATGTGTTTCTTTTAAACGAAAAATCCAAAATTATTTTAAGAAGAAATAATTATTATTTCTAACCTTAGATATGAGGTATGAAAAGATGAATTGTGAAGAGTAATGATAAACGGAAAAATAAAGTGTCCAGGGATTGGGAAAGCCTAGTGGACATGTCATCTGCCCGGTAAGCGGAACACTGTGGGTTCGATTCCCATCCCTGGACACTTTTATTTTTCCGTTTATCATTCTCTTCACAATTCATCCTTTCATACCTCATCTCTAAGGTTAGAAATAATCATTATTTCTCCTTAAAATAAATTTGGATTTTTCGTTGAAAAGAAACACATGAGGGATAATTTTAAAATGTCGCTTTATAATCACAAGCCGTATAATATTATATTGTATTACATATGTATAATGAAATGATGAATAATCAGTGATGTTTTTACTTATTTACATAATTAATTTAAGAATACACCTATCCCTCGATTTACACGGTACCTGTTTTACACGTTTTCGCTTTTACACGGTTTTCCAAATAAGTTTTTGTTTTTATCGCACTATACTAAATGCTACTGTGATTGAACACATGCGCTGTGTACACATCTCACGAGGAATCCCAAGCTTAAGTGCTGACTACATATTTTAACCTGTCAATGCATTTTATTTTTATTTCTGTGTACACCTATCCCCCGATTTAAACGTTTTTTCTCAGGAACGTATCTACTGTGTAAATAGGGGGGTATGTGTATTAACTTTATGAATACATAACACTATACTATTTCAATGCTGTACTTACATTGAGGCACCTCGATACCTACTTCAGTGCAATACTGACAGCTGTTTTATATTCCAGCATTCTTCACAGCCAGTTCTTCCTGCTACGGATTGTAGATTCCTTGAGCGACCACAGCATCACAGATCTGGCTATCTCAAGTCGGATCGCTTCTTACATCTCGGCCACGACTGCTGTAATGCGGACAAGTAAGTCTTCCTGTTTCCTTACTGTGTGTGAATCTTAAGTTTTACCTATCCACATTCAATAAATTTATAGTTTCCCTACAATATGATGTTACCTTAATACAGAAACTATCAGTATAGGTATATCCCTATGTGAGAAATGGAAGCATTAAGAGCTGCCTGCTGCTCATCCTGTATCCCTGGAGATCTTACAGGGTACTATCAGCCGGGCCAGCTGAGCCCAGGTTTTTTAGTGAGCTTGTTACTGCTCCCCCTCCTCCTTTTTCATCCGGGCTTGGGACCGGCAAAGGCGGAGTTATGAAGACATTAAAACGCGAATGCCTCTTTTCACAAATAAATCAAAATTCTACTCTCCTTACTGCGATGAAAATATATTGGGAGGGCTTGGCTCATCAGTGGTGAACCCTCCCAGCGGTTTCGCCAATTTAATCTACCAGACCGCTTCTCAGATCTCTAATACTGTATTGGACAATTCTGTTTATATATGCTACACTGAGGGTGGAATCTCAGAAATGATATTCAAGCAAACTATGGACATATGCTTATAGGGCAGTAGAATTACATATAAATATTTAAAAATAAAAAAGGCATATCCTGAACAGGAGCACATGTGCTTTTCAGAAGGCAGAACGCCATCTGGTGGAACAGAAATCAACTAAACATTGATTTAGCCTGTTCACTGATATTTGGCCAACTCAATTTCTTGATAAATCAAGAAAAGCCATCCACGAACGTGTTTCGCGCTTTTGGCGCTCGTCAGCGTGGAGTAGGCTGTACCATTGTGAACCAAAAATAATTTTGGTCCAGGTGACTTCTTGAGAAACCAAGAAATGGGTATTTAAGGTCAAACTTGCATAAATACGCTTAACACATGAAAAAAACAATAGAAAAAATAAAAAATTCAGGTGTTGATATTAAAAATAAAAAGCACATGTGCTCCTGATCAGGATATGCCTTCTAATTTTTAATATCAACACTTGACCTTTTTTTTCTATTGTTTTTTTCATATGATAATTTGCATCGAGCAATGCTCTTCCGCAAACAATAAGTACAAGGACAGTTACGATCCCTCTATGTTAAACATTGATTGTTAGAAATATTTTTCCAGAATGGCTACATGGTAATATTTGACCAAGACAATTGTCTTATAGATCTATTGATATGCAATTAAACATCTTGGAAGGAAGGGGTACATCATTTACATATATTCCACCAAATTTGATAGCTCAACAATATACTGTATTATGATACATAAACGCGCCATCTGTTATCAAAATTCGTAACTATTATAGACGTGTATGATTCTTTTTCAAAATTAAACAATTTCTAAAATTATAAAATAAATAAGCTTCCTGGGTTAAGTTTCTTGTGCTTTTTTTTTTTATTTTCAAGCTTTCGGACTTGTAAGTCCTTCAACAGGATTATCACGTTTACAACTACCCCAGGAATTCGACAGGGCCTTTTTTAAATTTTACAATTGTTAACTGCTTTAGTATCTTCTTTTATTTCTTTGTTCCGAAACAGAAATGCTCAAGTCTTGGTTTCTATGTATAGATACAAGAAAAATAAGACCTATTCCAAATTTCTAAATAACAATTTCTAAATTTAAAAAAATGCAATATAACAGTGGTATTTATTTATTTTATTTCAATTTAAAGCGCTATGTCCCCCTAGGGACAACTTGCGCTGTCATACATGTATGACACTTGTCTATACATATGTGGGATGTTTGCGTGCGTGTTGGTGTGGCTTGTGGAAGAGCCGCTGATAAAATTATATTTAAAATTAATTTATTTAAGGGGAGGGGGGTCGGTGGAAGGCTGGTTAAACCTTTTGGTTTTCGACCACTACGACCCGGGTTCGATTCCCGCATTGGACACTTTTTTTCTGTTAAAAAAAATGCTCAAATGGCCCTCGATTCTTACAAAAGTCCAACCCCACCAGCGAGTGCAAGTAAACAAACGGGGCTCTGGCACATTTGTAAGTGCAAAGTCGAACTGCTTTTCACATGTGTAGACATGTGGTGCGCTTACAGTAAAAGCAGTCGCTAACTACCCAACATGATTATCATGGCCTGTACCACGTGTACTAGGGATAAGCAATATATATATATTTAAAGCAAGAAATATATAAAGAGAAAAGAAGTAACGGCCGTTGGAAGCAAGCCTTGTTGTTGATGACGCGCGTGGCCAGAGTCCCGGATGACCGCGCATGCGTAGTCAGGTTACCGCTCGTGGTTGCCGAGGCCGTGATACTACTGCCAGTATTTGTAGTGAAGCTTTGTCCCAGTTCGCGCTCGCTGAAGCAAAGTGTGGTCGCCACATATATATATATATTATATATATATCATATATATGTTATATTAAAATATTTTATTTAAAATTATGATATATTAAAATATTATTTATAATATTATATTTATTCAAAATACTCTGTTAAATCGACCGCCAGAGGTCACGCTTCCCCTATAAAAACTCATTGTTGTTCCCCATTGGCCGGCTCAAAACTTTTGTACATTATGTAAATAATATTTTGTTTTCCTTATTCTACTCGCCTTAAGCCAGGCAGCACTTTTTATCCAACCATGTTTTTCATATATTACATAAGTTTAATTAAATCTATTTTGATAACTGATTTTATTTAATCATTGCCACGACTGCTCAACAAATATCTCTATTCTCAAAATAATCAGCATCAAGTATTAATTCTATATAGCTCTAATAATCAAAATACAACAGAAATCTCATTCATTTTCTTTATTAAATACAATATATATACAATAATTTTAGGCCGTGATAATAATAGTCATATGATATTAACAATGAGAAAGAGAGAAAAAACGAGAAAAAATAACTGTATACAAAAGAAAGAAGTGTCTGGTAATATGTACAATCAACATAATATAAATTATCAGTTTTTTAAAGATATTTGTTGCTATATAATAATGCGGTATGGTAGATTAAACTGGTGAAACCGCTGGGAGGGTTCACCAATGATGAGCCAGGCCCTCCTATTAATTTTTTTCCATTACAGTAAGGACAGTAGAAATTGTTTATTATTTTTTTAAAGAATCATACGCGTCTATAATGGTTTCGAATTTTCAAGACACTGTATATAGCTTTGTTCATAGTCGTCACTTTGCGTCGCACTACCCCAGGAATTCGACAGGGACTTTTCAAATTTTACAATAGTTAACTGCTTTGGTATCTTCTTTTAGTTCTTTGTTCCGAAACAGAAATGCTCAAGTCTTGGTTTCTATGAAAATTCGAAACTATTTTAGACGCGTAAGATTCTTTTTGAAATTCAACAATTTCTACTGTCTTTACTGCAATGGAAAATTAATGGTAAGGCCTGGCTCATCAGTGGTGAACCCTCCCAGCAGTTTCGCCAGTTTAATCTACCATACCGCTGTTATATTGCATTTTTGGATCTTCCTTTTATAGTGATACTATGCTAGACTCTTGGAATGGGTATTTTAGATTAACTATAGACATAAGCTTTGAGGACAGTAGAATTACATACAATTATAAATATATAATTGTATTGATATGTATAGATACAAGAAAAATAAGACTTATTACAAATAATTTAATAGTGTGTGACGTTTCGGTAACAGCATTGTTACCATCATCAGACAAAAGAGTAAAAAATGTTTTACTCTTTTTATTCTTTAGTCTGAAGATGATAACAATGCTGTTACCGAAACGTCACACACTATTAATTTATTTGGATTAGGTCTTATTGTCTTGTATCTATGCAACAGAATTGTTACCTTCATCAGATAAAAGAGTCTGATGATGGTAACAATGCAATTACCAAAACGTCACACACTATTAATTTATTTGAATTAGGTCTTATTGTCCTGTATCTATAATCTATAATCTTAATTGTTCCTTATCGTTTCTGTTTTATAGAAAATATCATTAATAAATTGTCTATTTTTTACGGGTATGATTATTTTTAAAAGAAAACAATATCATACTGCTCTTAGTGCGCAGAACTTTGCGCAGATGCGATATTGTAGCCAATGAGGAAGTTCCTAGGCGCGATTATTGCTAGTTGAAAACTTTACCCAATACTGCTCTTACTGCAATGATAAGATAATAGGAGGGCCTGGATCATCAGTGGTGAACCCTCCAAGCTAACTGTTGTTACAATCTGAACCCTTTGGCAGAGCTGACTGCTATAGGGGGCGTCCCCAAGTGGTAGATAGGGGAACGACCTTCAGATATGAAGGCCAGCT